TATTAAAATTTTACAAATTTACATAAAAAAATCTATTCTTTTTAAGTCTAACTAGTGCGTGGCCCGTGCGATGCACGGGAAATCAATATTACGATTGTATTATAAATTAAATATATAAATAACATTAATTATTATTTATTCATTATTTTTAAATTAAACTGGATTGGACACAGTCTGACCGGATGAATCGAGAACCGGTTTATAATCAGTCTAGTTCGCTTATATAAAATATTTGCTCTCGAATCCGTTAACACCAGTCGGTTGGACTGGTAGGATCGATACAATTTTCTAAATAAATTTTGTTGTAATTAAATTTATTTTATATAAAATTCCATATTTAAATAAAATAGATATTTATAAATTATTTATCAATTAGTTTAAACATTTGAATTTATAAATCGTTTAGATATCTAAGTAACACATTTTATTTAAATTTATTACAAAAAGTAGTATATATATATATATTAAAATATTTATAAATTAAAATCTGAACAAACCGCAAATGATTTAATAAAATAGCTTGATTGTTTCGATGACAGTCCAGTTCTACAAACCTTATATTTACTGTACACTAATAAATATTATAATAAAATATTATTTAATTCACATAAATATTAATAAAATGATATAAAATATCCATAAATCATTAAACATGTTGTCATAAAAGTATTGTTAATACGATTATTTGAAGTTTGGACTACATCACATTCACGTAATAAAATATTTTCAATATAGAATTTATATTTAGGTTCAATAATTGATTTAGTGTGGTCGAACTGACACAAAACTTAGTCACCTGGGACCAACCAAATGGTGTCAAGTTTTTTTTACTATTTTAAATATCACCTAAAAGTAATTTAATCAACTTGAGCACTACCCTAATTCAGTCACCCGATTGATCCCGAAGAAATATTCTTATTTTCTTTAAATATATTTAATTTTATGAAATAAAAATATTTTATGATTCATATAATAAATGTCTACACTAAATGATAGTATATTAAGATTATAAATAATATGTCTAAACATGAATTAATTATTTTTACTTTATGCATATTAATAAAAAATAACATTGTAATTTAAAAAAAAATAAGATTATTGATTGATTATGCAATCTAAGAATATTTTTAGCGTTCAATATTTTTTTAAAGGCACAAATATAAAGACCGAGATTTTAAAACTTTTGCATATTTTGAATTGAGATTATAAATATAGAGACCGATATTTTAATGTTGTTCGTTGTTTTTAAGAAAAAAAATCAAACTAAAAACATATACACTTAATAAATCTTAGCCGGATTTTTAATAATAAAAATGAATTGAAGCCCGAAATTTAAGGTAGCATTTAATGCTGTATGATTTTTAAAGAAAAAAAAAAGAAAAATAATAAAACTTACTATTTATAGGTTGCATTAAATTATGACCTATTTTTTTGTTACTATTTTTAGTAAATATTAATTCTTATTATATATATATAGATGAGGTTTGAACATGCTCAGACCTGCACGAGTTGCTTGTCGAGTCTGCGTTTGTTTTCATGATGCATCACGTGAGGTTTCCCTTCTCATATCATCAAAAATAATTATCGGCACTATTTAAATTTCATTACCAATAAATAAATAAATTGTATTTAATCAGATTTGAGTGTAAATATTTATTCGAATTTTAATTGTCCCGTGATTTTATATTGACATGTTGATTTTGGAAAATTTGTATATACTTATAAAGGGGTCATCACCGATACCAAACTTTTTACTTATCGATTTAAAATACAACAGAGTGAGCGTGTGATACAAATTTCATTAAGTTCTTCTAAATTTAGTTTAGTTAGCTGATTCGATTAATTTAATTGCATCTTGTTCGTAGTTTTCATTCTATTAATATATTTATCGATTGAGAAAAAAAAAAATCCAATCCACCATTAAGTGCACTTACATTATGTGGTCCAGTACCAAACTGCACAATGATTTCAATTCCGAAGGGCTTTTACATCATGTGATTCTCTTATTTTTTAATTTATTATTCATCGCCGAAAAATTTTAAAAACTGAGGTTGTGAAATTAATCAGATGAATCAAATTGAAATAAAAAAAAAAATTACGGTAAAAAATAACCTCTCATTACGGTAAAAAATTACGGAACATTAAACCTGAGTCTGGTAGCGCAAGTCCGTAAATTAATTAATATATTATCTCGCTCACATGTTTATAATAATACATATTTGATTTCATTATATATATATATTTATTCTTTGATATAAGAAAAATAACAATTTTACGTAATCTTGTTCCTCGTATAATACTCATATTATTTTATTATGAAATTTATTGTAATATATTTTCATTATAATTATTTATGCAAGTTATAGATGTAGTCTTCTTCTTCTTTTTGTTTTATATAATTAAAATATTTAATGTATGTTCATATTATTTATTAATGTAATTAATTTAAATTATGTAAATATATTTAAAGTAAAACATTTTGTACAAACATTTTACAAAATATACACAAATATTTTTTTAGAATATAATTTTTTTTATAATAAATAAACATCTTTGAAATTCTATGCAATTATTAAACATCTTTGATATAAATTCGAAATCATAATTGAATTCTAAGCAATTATTAATTCTGTCCGATGTTATGAGAAACAAATCATTCGGAAATGATTATATGTAAGTTGAGATAAAATGAAATGTATCAAAAAAAATCTGCTTATGATATTTTCCTTTAAATGTTTGAATGAATTTGAAATTCAAATTACAAATCAACCTCCAGTTATTCAAATAATTTTAAAAAAGTTACCAATTGTAGTAAAATGTACGTGACAATATATTATAAATATACACGATGTCGGTAATGTTATGAATCTTTAAGTTCCTAAAATATATATTGTTTAGATATGAAACTAATTAACTTATATGTTAAGAAAATATATATAAATATATGTATTGCACGAAATATACACGTGACAAGTTATTATATTTGTTTATATATTGTTTGCATTGTTTATTATATTTGTATATAAATATTTTGTTTATATGTTTTTCTGTATTGTACGACAAATTATTATATTTGTTTATATATTGTTTAGATATGAAATTAATTAACCTATATGTTAAGATAATATATATAAATATATGTATTTTATGAACTCTTTAACGTGTTTGTTAAATTTTTCCCCTAAAAAATTCAAAATACATTTAGGCATGTTTTGTTTGAAGTTTGAAATGTAAATATACATCTATATAACAAATCCCATGATTTATACTAGCATTAAATACTACTTGATTTTTTATTAAAAAAATTTAAAAAACATACCAAAAATAGAATGCAATTAATATTCACTATTTTTTTGCTTACTATTTTTAAAAAATATTAATTCTTATTATATATATACTAGTACAGAGCCCGTGCGATGCACGGGGTGCACAATTTTAAGGCTATTTATCCAGACTTATAATTATATACATGAATAAAGAAAAATGTACGGAATATATATAGTACGTGACCCGCGAGATATATTTATTTGGAGAATATTATATTATAAGATTGCAATATTCAATAAAAGTTTATAATACGCAAGAAATTGTACGATGTTCAATAAAAATTTTATAATATTCAAGTGGAGTTTTAAAGTCTCTTGTACATTAAGACTACTGACAAAATAATATTTTAATCAATGAGTTTCATTCCTTATAGCCAAATTGTGAATGTGATTTGAGGAGTACAACAAATCGATATATAGCTGACTTGTTTTTTTCATTGTAGTTTTTTTTTTTTTTATAATGAATTTAAAGATATTCTAAAATATAACAAAAATTTATTTTTTTATTACAATTAGGAATTTTACTAAATATAAACTCTCAATCTATGGTGTTAATCAACGTTTAAGTCTAAAAAATTAGGAATTTTTACCTCTTTTAATCAACGTTTAAATCTAAAAAACAATAGAGTTATTATAAGTTTTTTTTCTACATCTTTTAAAACATTAAATATGAGCATGTTAGGGCTAGCTTGTAAAATAATTAATATATTATCTCACTAAAACATTTATACTAATAAAAATTTAATTTTAGCATATAAATTTATCCCTTGATATAAGAGAAAGTAACAGTTTTACTTATTGTTGTTCACCATATAATATTTAATTATTATTTTATTATATAATAAAAAAAGAATATTGTTAAATAGTGTAGTAGAATTGTTATAAAATTATATGAATTTTTTTTTTACAATATGGATTTAATATTTTTTATGATTTGATATTATAAACAAATCTATACTTAACTTTGACAAATAAAACAAATAAATACTTTAGTAAGTATTTAATGTATATACTAAATAGGAATATATTTAGTATAATCAAATACCAAATATAATCAAATAAATTAAAGTGTACATTTTTATTTGGTATTTAATTTTTTTATTATTAAAATCTTTTTATTATACTTACCTTTTTAAAATAAAACAAATAAATAAATCAATTAAATAAATAAAATATTATAATACCAAAATAGTAATGACATTTAATGCAGTTGACTTTTCTGGGTAATAAATGTAGTAAATAGAATATCCTTTTATATAATATAATACAGAAATAGTAATGTAATAAATGCTGTTGACTTTTCTGGCTACTTAATTTGGTAAATAGTATCCCTTTTAATATAAGTATAGATATATAGATTACTTGACCTTTATTTTTTTGTTTGTTTTGCCATATATTTGACTATTTGAGTTCAAGTTTCTCTTCGTTTCATTTATAGCCTACCTCAACTTACTTGGGATTAAAATGCTATATTGTTGGTATTGTTGTTGT